ATTATTTATTATTAGGGGGAGGGGGGGGGGGACGTCGTTTATTATTAGGGGGAAGGGATTACTTCTGTCAGCTTTCAAAAACGGCAGTGGGAGCTTCGGGGGTTGGCGTCAGGGGGTTCAGGTTGTGCGAAGCTAATTTTTGGGGGACGATGACGGTCGTAGGGGTATGTAATGGTGAAGATGGAGATGAAATTGCGTCGTCGTCCCCACAATAGCAGCCGTCAGGATAACTAGTTTGAGCGCCATTAAAAATAAAGAGGAAGACGCCGCAGCCGCAGCCGCAGCCGCAGCAGCAGCAGCAGCAGCAGCAGCAGCAGCGTAGTGCTAGTAGCGGCAGTAGCTGTAGCTGTAGCCTTAGTATTGGCGATCGTATTCTTGAGTAACGGGTGCTCCAATAACACTGTAATCACATTCCCAATATCAAGGAAGGGCTACAGTGGGCACAAAATAACTTGAGGGTCTGGGCATAAGCGCATATTGTTGTGTTACATGGGGATAATGCAAAAGAAAATGTAAACTACTGCATTATAACGGGGTGTGTATTAGGGTAGCATGGGGCTGGGGTTCAGGACCTCCGTCTGTAATGCGTCTGAGTAGTGACAGGTCCGTCTTAGAACGCCGCGAACGTTGGGCTGACCTCATACTATCAGCTACTATCAGTCGTGTACCTGTACCTAAAAAGACCCAATCTCCAAAACATGATTCTACACCCCTTGAAGTTCGAATATGCAAGAGGCAAAAATTCGGAAGCAGAATCTTGCTCAAATTGAGCGGACTACAGCATCTCTGAAATGAGCATCGAGTGAGACCCGCGCAGCTTCACGATTCGCACCCTGAAGCCCAAACTAAACCCCCAAAAAAGCCTCGAACCCAAAACCCACAAGACGCGTGCCCAAGAAGCACACTCCTCAAAGGTGCCAAAGAAACGGTAGTTTAGGGCTCCACTTCATGAGCGGATTTCAGTAGCCTCAACCCCAATCCCAAGATTTAGGACTCTACTTACTAAAAGCATGTGATCATTATAGGGTCCTTACTTGGGCTGGGGGTTCCCCAAGTCCTCTTGACCTTCCATGTAACTCAGCTGGTTCTTAGGATTGTACACAACAGATCGCAAAACGATTTCTGAAAAATTGAAGTCTAGGAACCATATGGGGTTATGTAGGGACAATAGTAGGTTATATATCGGGGTAATATTGGGATAATGGAAAAGAAAATGGAAACTACTATAAGAAGTTCCCTTTACGCCTAATCCCTAAATCCTAAACCCTAAATCCTAAATCCTAAACCCTAAACCCCTTTACGCCCGAGCGCATAGCCCGCCTCAGGCAGGAGCTCGGTGTATCCCCCTGTGCCTGGTCAAAGTTTCAAGCTCGCCGACCGAACACAGGGTTTAGGGTTTAGGGTTTAGGATTCAGGGTTTAGGGTTTAGGGTTTAGGATTTAGGGTCAAAGTTTCAAGCTCGCCAACCGAACCACCTATTTTCAGCCAGAAGATGTATTGTTTGCTAATGTAGACCCTTGATTAATAGGGGTTATATTGGGACAATGGAAAACAGTTTTTTACGACTATTATCAGTACTCTTATTGCTGCTAGTGCTACTATTATTACTATTATTACTGTTATTCCTACTCTGGCGTCCACTCTTATCCACCTCTGCTATGAAACATTTATACTGCTCAGGCTAGGTCCCTAAACCCTAAAACCCCCTAAACCCTAAACCCTAAACCCTTAAACCCTAAACCCTAAACCCCTAAAACCCCTAGAACCTATGTGGCCATTGCCACCCGCCACCGGAAAACTACAATAACACATTCAGTACACTCCCCCAAAGTAACATGGAAGCCCATATAACCCCTTTCTAAAGGGACTGTAGTCTTTATAGGGCCCTTTTTGGGTTTCCATGTGGTTTAGGGTTTAGGGTTTAGGGCTGTACGCCCACAGCATGGATGCGGACAATCTGTTGATAGGCTGATGCAACAATATGATGTCTGCAAATTGCGCTTGATGGGTGATTCCAGAGAGTACCAAACTTACTTCAAGATGTACAGATGTACAAGTAGTGAGAAGGCAACATAGCCTGGTCATGGGCATCTGCCTCACCCCATTATGGTGGTTTCCATTTTCTTTTCCACTATCACTATATAACCCCTATAACCCCTATATCTGCCATAAACCCTATATGGTAGTTTCCATTTTCTTTTCCATTATCCCTACATAACCCCTATATAACCCCAATATATTAAAACTGGGAGAACTGCTGGATGGCCCCACCCGCCCCACCCATCCGCGCCTCTGCAGGAGTGCCACTTTGGCTGGCCGGATGCGACGGCTTGCTATGCTGGGAATGCTTGGACGGAGGAGTCCCAAGGATGGGTGGCTGCCGAAGGCTTGTAGCTTGCATTTCCTCCAAGAGCGAGTCCAAACGGCTCTGCTGTTCCTCTAGCTGCTTCATGCAGTGCTGCGGCCGTGACTTCTGCCTCGGCTCCTCCCTCAGCCTTTGAACTGCATTGGAGCTTGCAACAACCTCGCCAACCAGCTTGGGCAGCATACCCTGGCAGAGGGCTTCGATACGGCCCTTCACGGTTTGGGCAACCTCCTCTGCGAGCGCGCGGCGCTCTGGGGAGTTCATGTCTCTGGTCTCTAGCGGCATGACCACGCCTCCACTGTGCAGGGCAGGTACGCTAGGGGCTGTCAGTGGAACAGGCGCAACAGGCGCAGCAGGCGAAGTGAGCACGGTAGGCTCCGTGAACTCAGCGGGCGCAGTGAGCGCAGTGAGTTTAGCAGGCGTACCCTGCAGGGCAGGTGCAGCTTGGACCTGTGCGGCCTGTGCTTCCTTCCAAAGGGAGCGGAGCGGCACGTCCTCCGGCATCCGGACCTGCAACATGGCAGGTTGTCGTAGCGGGCACGGGAATGAACGCGAGAAGAATTAGTTATTGTATCAACATAGTCCTCACGGCCCGCTGACACTCCCTGCTACCATAAACATGATTGCTCATAAGTCCCACTCAATAGCACCACCAACAAGCAATGCCCAGGTGGACTCAACATGAAAAATAATTACGATAGGCCGTGAAATCTGACCTTGGAAGATGCATGATGTTATTCCTACTGATAAGTGAGCTACACAAGGAGATGCGTGTCTCATACGGGCAACAGAAGCAGCAGTACTGGGTACATCAAGACTGCAACAAAGAAGAAGTGCGAGGGCTCGCCACCACTACGGGGTCTAAAACAAAACATAACAAAACTGCGGTCCTCGAGGTGGACCATTCTTGAACGAGGAAGATACACCAATTGTCCAAACACAGCGGAACTCGTCTATTAATCCCTCAGGATCTTAAGTTCTCCTTTTCCTGACCCGAGTCCCGTAAAAAGGGTGCAGACTGTGCAATTGCAATGAGAGGGACTAAGAAGCATGTAGACCCAAGACCCTTTCACATTTTGAGATTCTTTTCGAAATGAGATGAAATGGTCTGCAATTAAACGCTTTCTGCGTCCCTAAACCCTAACCCATTAAAACCCTAAATCCTAATGCAACCCGAAGCCCTAAACCCTGAAACCCCTAAGTTTTAAACATGAGCTCTGAGCTGCGCGCCGTCGACTTCATAGCTCTGTCGGCATGGACTTCGCTTCCCCGTCCTGCGCAGAATCTCTCTCCACATCAACGGAAGGCTTCGATTCATTGGGTAGGGTTTAGGGTTAAGGCTCCAAATTGGACCCCAATATAATATACGATAAGCCCTGTTATAGGGACACCCTCCCTATCCTACAGCCCCATATGGTAGTCTCCCAAAACAGGTGACCCCCCAATATAGATCCAACATACTACGATCCTCATTATACAATGGAACCCCTAATTATGGGAGCCCTAAACCCTAAAC